CCCCCACCCCCACCCCCCGAATCGCCAAACTCCTTCAGCAATCTAGCTTGTATTCTGAGCGGCACAGCCCTGGTGGATTTGTGGATTTGTGTTTTGGCCGGAGGACGAGACACTGACAACATAAGGAAAGGGTTTGCGCCGGTGCTCACCTCCGAGCCTCATACCCTCGCATGGCCCCTAGGAGGTGCTGGTGAAATATGCTTGGGTTTTGCAGATGCGTACTTCGTCCTGTGTGAGCAAGAGTGCCTCTTTTCCTATATCCGAGCAAAGTATTGAAATTAAAAGGGTGTGGAATAGGTTGTGCCCGCGTGCGACTGCTGACAGCCCAGCGCGTTTCTGTTCCATCCCATCTGTTGAGATTACACAGTGCTCCAAGCCCTGTTAACAATCTTGCTTTTTAAGGCCCCGGTGAGTGGGAATGCCTCGCACAAGACGTCTACATTAATATTTATTTATTAAGTCATGTATTATTTATAAACAGCTTGAATTAACTCTGCAAAATAGATGGATGTGTAGGAACCCAGGCTGTAGCTGGCAGCTAAAAGAACCTGGAGATAGACCAGCTAACTGTATACAGCCAAAGGACACTGGGTGAGTTAACAGCTCCCGTCACTGCAATAACATTCTGAAATGTGTTTTCTCATGGATTTCTTCGAATAAACAGGTGGGAGAGGTCTCATTGATACCTTAGAACGTATAAGCCTAAGTGGAGAGAGGAAATTAATCATTTATAGATATTCTCTTCTTTATTATAATTCAGTCTGTGCATCTGTAGATGGCTAAGCATTTTCCAAACCATGTGCATTCAGAGAGACTATACTTTTGTCCAGGTAATGAGCAATTTTTTGAGCATCGGTCACCCGGAAAAAGATGCCATTTCTCTGGAACTTGGATTGAAATGGTTTTACTTTAATATTATACTCTAAATAAACTGAGTGTACCCCAGGCCCAGATAATTTCATATGATAGGAAAACCTTGAAAGAAATGAACACCAAGTTCTAAGATTATGGTCGGCTGTATAGACTTAGTCATGGGAGGGAGCAAACAAATATATGTGTCCTAGTCTTTCTCAACAGCATCCCTCTCTGCACCCCACCCATGCCACCTGCTCACAGACTGATATGCAGCAAGGCTTAGTTCTCGAAGTAGAAGGTTAGAGAAAAGTTGATTATTTTAATAAGCAGCTTCCCAATCTGATTTAGAATTTTTACCTTATTTAGCTAAATAAGAAACATGAAAGATTAAATTTTGTAAGTAAACCTTTGTAAATGCATGATAGCATTCATTAACTCCATCTTACAAAAATATATATATATATAAATGTGTACTTTAATAAGTGACTTTTCCCTATGTCCCTGTTAAGAAAATTCTAGTGTTCCAATGCATTCAGTGCTTGGGTAAATATACTTTTTTGGAGCAATGTGTGATACAGATTTCTCTAGTCAGAGTATATCTCTTTTTTTTTTTTTTTTTTGGCTGAATCAGTCCTTATTTAGCAAAAATCCCCATTAGTTTTGGACAGCAATGAAGTTGGGTGTTGGGATCCAACTGTGGATTAAATTTTTCCAAGGAAATGAGAATTATGCTCTTACTGATTCCCTCCGCAGTAACCACCTATAATATGAGAGCCAAACATTAGTCACAAACCAGATCTGCAGTCAGATTATGAATGGTTGTGTGACGCAGAAGGTGACTGTCCCACTAGGAACAGAAATTTTTCCTTTGTATTTATATAAAGATCTCCAGCAATTAGATATGTTTTCAGACTTCCATTAACCATATATGCAGACCCATTTCATAGGAACATGACATGAAAAAACTGTCATTTGTATCAACTACGTATTAAGAACTACTTACTAATCTTCACAGGAATGATTAATAGTAATAAATAATAAATAAGTGTCAGATTGACTTGAAATGTAGACAGGACGAGTTTGCAATCTGCTGCTGTGGGGGACAAGCCATCTACTATGGTATTTTAAGGCACCGAATATATTATTATCTATTAGAAAACAGCTCTGGCAATTTCACTTACCACACTGATAAGATTTAATCTTCATATTAAATTCAGTGCATGTATTTGTTGCAGAGCTGCTTTGTACTTTAGCTTTCTGCTCAGCGATGATATGGGAGACATAAAAGCCCTAGAAGGAACAAACAAACAATGAACAGGTGAAATCAAATGACACTGTAAGGGCACCTGTGATTAAGTGCTAAAATGGATCATGCAAAAAATAAATAAATCTGGAGAGTTTCTGAGGAGTGGAGTGGAACGGAATAGAATTTATGGCAAAGTCTTAGAATGGAAGCCTTACTATGTATAACATGTTACCACGCGTAGTTAAGGATGCTGACAGTACTGCCCCCAGATCAGTCTATATACATGCATGTGGTCGTGTGTGTGAATTACAAGCTGTTTGTTTCTCAGGATGGCATGTGCTTGCTGCATGCCACTGTCTACACAGACGCAATTTTCTCTAAAGCAGTGGGATTTAGTCCTCAAGGCTTATTTGACTTTCTTCACCACTGGAACACACAGTGATTATGCCTTT